TTCCTGTATATTTTCACTGCCTTGGCATTGACCATCTCAAGGAAGCTGAGTTGGACATCTCCTGCTCTTACTTACTTACAGAGCTGAATCTGACCTAAGCTCCTCAGTCTAAACAACTGACAAGCACAGCAAGACACCCAGAAAGCAATCTGAGTTACTCTCTGGTACAAAACTCCTGGTACAAAACCTGGGGTCCAGGGCCCCCAGTGGTCTGTGATGTATGTCCAGACCATATTGCTTTTATAAAAATTACATGATGCAGGTGGAAATTACTATCAACTAGTATCGAGGTTGTTATGGGTATGATTTAGTTATTATAGTAGTAAGCCTAATTGAATAAGCTGAATCTAAAACTTGAAAACTCTAATCTAAATAGCTAGCATAGCTAATATTAAACTGAAATTTTAAAATGTAGAATTTGGAAGTGATGTTAATATTCTGTGTTTGCGTATATGTGGAGAATACTGCATTACACATCGTATATGTTTTTTGTTTTGGAAACCTTAGTGCAGTCATTGCTCTGAGAAATGCCCAAGGAACATCACAGCGAATGGCAAGGTGATAACGCAAGCTGTAGAGCCGGTGAAGAAAAGGGGCATGGTGGGCAAGGTGACGGACATGACGATTCCTTTAGCGCACCATCCCACAGATCTGCAGATGAAGCAGACTCTCCCAGAAAAGATGCTGATCAATCCTGTTTTCAGTCATTCAAAGAGGAGTATGAGGAGGTTGAAAGCACTGCACCACTAACCACCCGCAAGAAGTTAACACAAAAGAGGTTCAAAGGTATTTATGCGTTTACTCTACATATAAAATGACCATCACAATTATTACATATAAACTACTAATTTAGAGTAGGTTAAACAAATTGTGCTGTGCGTTCTATCTTTTAAATCAAAGTATTTGGGACTTTATTTAGTTGCATGTTACCATTCCAAGTGGTAAACGTGGGCTCATTTTGTTATTTCATTTGTTATCTGGTTGCCTCTCACTGTCTACAACAGCAACTCTGCTGTGCTGCGATTGAACGGCGCTGATCTGATCACCCCAGCGTAACCACAAACAGTCAAAAAGTCAGACCATTTCTGTAAATATTACAGGAACTTAAATAATACTTGTGCGGTAAAGTAACTGATTGTGCTGGTTTGGTTTTTAAGACATAATAACAGCTTTATTTTAACGTAAGTCTATGGCCAAGAATGACATCACAGTCTGATAAACCCAGGTGTTTGCAGATTGAAATAATCAGGATTAGAGTTCTCCTTTCGAGACAATCCGCACAAAGTGTGCACCTCCATACGCTATGTGTGAAAGCTACATTTAAAGAAACCATCATTGGGATTTGAGCTTGTGATCTGTCTCAGCAAAATATACTTCAGAGCTGTTTAGAAACCATTCAGTACCAGGCTATTAGTTTGATTTCAATTTGATTGACTGGAACTAGAAGGAAAAGAGAAGCATGGAGGGGGAGAATTAATTAAATAATAGTACACTAAGTATAAAAAAGTGACACGTTTGTGTTAGTGGACTTGACTTGGGATGTAACCTAGGTCCAGTGAGGCAAGTAGGTGAAGTTGCATTGGATATTCTGTAAGCTGACATTGCAGACATGAGCAGCTCCATTGGGACCAGTGACAAGAAATGAAGAGTTGTATATTGTGTTTGTTTTGTATCATTGAGCATCATATTCATTTACATCTTTTTCCCCTATAGGTCAAAACAGAGTTGGGCAGCAGCACAGGAGTAACCGGGCATCTGTCCTCGCCCCCCTCAAGCTCCTAGATGGCACCAGTCAACGCATAGCATCAGCCCAGCAAAGGCACAACCAGCAGCTGAGCAATGAGGTGTGGGATCTGCAGCGGCAACTGCGCACCACCGTGCAGGAGAATCGGCTACTCCAGCGCTTACAGAGCAGACAGGCCACTGCGCTGCTACACTTCCAGGACATCCAGGGCAGCCTGCCCCAACTGCTCCATAATCACAGCAGTGAGGTGAGAGCACTGCAGGAGCTCCTGCGCAGAGCTAAAACTCACATCAACCTTCTAGCACGCAAGCTGCGGGGCACAGAGAGCGCGCTGCTGCACACCCGCGACACGCTGCAGTGGCTACAGCGCCTCAACAAGGACCAGAACCTGGAGGAGCGAGAGACCCTGACGCAGCGCCTCAGTGTTCTCACTGTGGACTTGGAGAAGAAGAACAAAAGGATTCAGGTATTGTGTAAAGTTGAGCTGCAGTGACGTGTGTGTGCTGCAGCAACACCAGCAGCTCTCTCTTAATGATTCGGATTTTCAAATTCACACCAGGATCTGGAGACAAACCTTGCGCTGAGCACTGCATCATTTAATCGTCAAATGAGCTCGGAAATGAGAAAGACGATGGAAGCCCGAGACCTGTCCCGATATCTGGAGGAATTAATGAGTCATTTAATGCAGAAAATCAAGGTGCAGCATTTCTTGAGTTTTAAATTTGAATTTGAGTTTTAAATTTAGATTAAGTGCCAAACCTGGAAGGCAGTTTTGTTGGCCTGCATAGTAAGGTCACTTGCATGATATCTTATTCTATATTGTTTTTGTTTATCTGTTTATTCTGCAATCCTGCAGGGGATGGAGAAAGAATTGGCGAACCATGATATCTACTCGCACAGATTTCTGAAAGGCAGTTTAAAGAAAGGTACTACAAATTGTATACTTTCTCACAAATAGAGACTTTGTTCCATTATGTTTCCAAGAGCAGTCCAAGTACGGAAAGACACACAACTAAGGGTGTTTTTATACTGTCCTTGTTTGGTGTGGACCAGTTTAATTTTTTCATTATGGTTTGGGTTGGGGTTTTTTTTTCTAATGTGAACCTGACACCCATATTCAGGTTCACACCAAACAACTGGACCCTGGTCTGGTCTGCTAAAAATCAGAGACTTTCTCCTTGTCCAAGTGAACTATGGTTCAGTATCACCATGGTCAAGTTCTCGACCTTTGTCTTTTGGCTCTAATAATGCTTAAATGGACTGCCTATTACTAGATAAGCATTTCAATGAACAATGAAAATGGTTCTGATATATATCCTGAAGGGTGTGTAGAAAAGTGACCTTAAATTATGGATAATATTGGCACACTATTAAGTAAGGAATAAAACCGGACAGGACATGCATTTAGGAAAATTGTCACTGAAAATAATCAGTGACAGAGTGATAGCAAGTTCCAAAGCGTTTTATTCTTTTCATAGTACAGCAATTTGCCAACATGAGCAATTTTTTATTTATCAAATTATGATACGTCATACTTTACGTACACTTATAGTTACGTTTAATGTTGTGGAACAGCCACAACAGAGTTAGTTCCTTTTATCACTCGTTATAGCAGCTATAAAAATTTGTTCCCTCACCAGCCTCTCTTTTTTCCTGTCTCTTGAAGTGAATAAGACAAAACAATGCAGCTTGTCATGTTAGCAAGAACCTCAGAAGCACAAAGTCCGCTATCCTGATGACTCTTCCATATCACAGAACTTAAAGCAATAGTTTGACCTCTGACTGTTACAAAGTACTGATGATAGCGAATCTGTCCAAAAATGCTAAATAAACATATCCTCACAGAAATATATGGTGGAGCACCCACCATCGCTGTGTATGTTGTTACTATAGAAACAATAACACATTCGAATGAGCGCATGTGATTTGCCTTGCAGCCTAACTACTGTCAGAGCAGAAAATTAATCAGCACCTACTGAGCAATCAGAAAATTGAACAGCACTGTGGTGTAACTGTAACTGTTTGATTGGTTGGATTGTAAAACTAAAAAAAATCAAATCACAACTGACCAAATTTCTGACCAAGCAGAGAACACCCTCACATGCACACAATTTAGTGCACTTGCAAACTACTGGAGCAGTGGGACCCAAATGAAAAAGATGCAGTTGTTCATTCATCTTCAGTAACCTCTTCATCCTGGTCAGGGTCGCAGTGTTTATGGAGCCTATCCCAGAAACACTGGGCATGAAGTGGGAATATGCAGCCTGGATGGAGCCTGCCAGTCCATCGCAGACACATGTTCACACACTCGTTTACACCTTGGGGCGATTTAGTGTAGCTAGCCTCTGAAAAAGACACAATGTTCCAAAAACTTTGCGTCTAAGTCTAGTGTGAAAACAGCCTTACAAATCAAAAAATAAATAAATAAATCACTCAGCATACGCACTGCAATTAAATGTGAAAAGGCGAATAACCTTGTGTTTTTATGTCTCCATTTTCAGGGACAAAAGAAAGCAAATTTGTTCAAACAGAACCTTTGTCACCTATAGTACTTGAAACTCCTCCTCTCTTAATGCAGACAGAGTATCCACAAAAAGCCAATGAGAAGAACGCTTGGGTAAAGTTCATATTAGAATATGTTGCTGGTATGCTGCTTTGAGGGACTTAAATGAAATTGAAAAGTCTGTATTTACTGTAGTTTCACTTACAGGAGTTTGATGCCAATGAACCAGCGAAGGACAGGAGCAGTGAGGACGACCTGATGCAGAAAGATCATGAGGAAACCTCTAATGAGACACCTCCTGGTAAGAGCTGCCAGACTGTCCATGCTGCCACTGTAGGTGGACTGATACATGACAATCCTTTTCAGTATAGCTGTACTGTCCAAGTCTACATTCACATTTGCTTGATTGGCTGTAATCCAGAGCAATTTGGTGATGCTGAGATTTGAACTCATGACCTTCTGATCAGCAGCCCAAAGCCACTGAGCCACCACTTCCCTGTGTGAGGCTCCTCACATTCTTCTTTTTCTCAAGAGAGCAAAAGTTCATTCATCACATGATGATTCCTGAAGGACAGCAAGCCCCTCAACAGGCTTTAGTCAGGATTTGACCAACTTTTCATTGGATTTATACCACAGCAGTGTTGAATTCTTGAATCTGACTTCTCTATAACAGTAGTTCTAGCTCTAATTAAAATCACAGTTTATATTAATGCACTGTAATATTCTAATATGCTATTGTTTCAATAGTAAGGGTCCCTGGAGGACTAAAGGTCAGGCCACAGCGCTCTCACCCCTGCAGCTTGGGTTCAATTCCCGGCCAGGGAACCAACCCCAGCCACTGCGGTTGTGTGCAACAGTGAGCTCTCAGTGCTGGTCCCAAGCCTGGGTAAAATTGCGGATGGTTGCGTCAGGAAGGGCATCTGGCATAAAAACTGTGCCAAATCAAGTATGCAGACCGGTGATCTGCTGTGGCAACCCCTAATGGGAGCAGCCGAATTAGGAACAACAACATTGTTTCAATAGTGACAACTAATTCACAGGCACTTATATGGCAGATGCACCATAACATCTAAATGTAATCATAAAAACATGTCATTATTTAGCAAAAGTAAAACATATTTAACATTTATGCTTAAATGAGTCCCAGATGTCAGTGCTATCTTACATTCGGTTAGTTTTCCTCCATGGGAAAGTCTTTAGGACAGAGGACTCTGACAGAGGACTCTGCAGCCTTACAAAGCAAAAAAAAAAAAAAAAAAGTCACTCAGCATAGGCACTGCAATTAAATGTGAAAATGTGACTAACCTTGTGCTTTTACATCTCCCATTTCCAGGGGCAAAAGAGACCAGATTAGTTCAAACAGAACCTTTGTCGTCTATAGCACTTGAAACTCCTCCTCTCTCACTGCAGATAAAGTATCCACAGAAAGACATTGAGAAGAATGCTTGGGTAATGTTCACGTTAAACTGCTTTGAGTCACTTAAATGAAACTCAACTCTATCTGTGCTTACTGTAGTTTCACTTACAGGGGTTTGATGCCAATAAACCAAAGCACAGGAACAGTGAGGATGAACTGACGCACAAGGAATATGAGGAAACCTCTAATGAGACACCTCCTGGTAAGAGCTGCCAGACTGTCCAGACTGCCACTGTAGGTGGACTGATACATGATAGTCCTTTTCAGTATAGCTGTACTGTCCAAGTCTACATTCACATTTGCTCAGTTGGCTGACGCTGTTATCCAAAGCAGCTTGGTGACACTGAGATTTGAACTCATGACCTTCCAATCAGCAGCCCAAAGTCCAGCAGCCCTGAGCCACCACTTCCCTAAGGCTCCTCACATCCTATTTTTCTTCAAGAAAGCAAAAGTTTATTTATCTCATGATGATGTCTGAAGGACAGCAAGCCCCTCAACTGGCTTTGGTTGGGGTTTGGCCATTTGTTTATTATATTTATACCACAGCATTGTTGAATGCCTGAATCTGACTCTTCTATAACAGTAGCTCTGACAGTAGTTCCAGCTGTAACATTCAGTAAGTGTTCCTTTACGGGAAAGTCTTCAGGACTGATGTTTCCAGTTTCTCTGTAACATTAGTTGTGGGGCTTTTTGGTCTTATTGACTTCAAGAGAGAAAAAGGTGATACTAGTGAGGGAAAAATGGCTCATAGCTCCTATAGCCTGTCTCAAGGATGGTCCACAACATTAAATGTAATTAAACAGGTAAAAAGTATCCCGTGGTGCAATTGGTAAATTGGTGTGGTATAAGATGAATAAAATGTAAAACATATACACATTAGTAAGGTGAAGATTTCTGTAAGGAGACATTTATTTAACATTTATGCTTAAATGAGTCCCGGGTGTCAGCACTCTGTAACATTCAGTTAGATTTCCTCCATGGGAAAGTCTTCAGGAAAGAAGACTTTGTGTTTTCCAGTTTTTAGGTGTAAAAACAGCCTTACAAAGCAAAAAACACTACAATTAAATGTGAAAATGTGACTAACCTTGACCTTTTACATCTCCCATTTCCAGGGGCAAAAGAGACCAGATTAGTTCAAACAGAACCTTTGTCATCTATAGCACTTGAAACTCCTCCTCTCTCACTGCAGATAAAGTATCCACAGAAAGACACTGAGAAGAATGCTTGGGTAATGTTCACGTTAAATTGCTTTGAGTCACTTAAATGAAACTCAACTCTATCTGTGCTTACTGTAGTTTCACTTACAGGGGTTTGATGCCAATAAACCAAAGCACAGGAACAGTGAGAATGAACTGACGCACAAGGAAAATGAGGAAACCTCTAATGAGACACCTCCTGGTAAGAGCTGCCAGACTGTCCAGACTGCCACTGTAGGTGGACTGATACATGATAGTCCTTTTCAGTATAGCTGTACTGTCCAAGTCTACATTTACTTTTGCTCAGTTGGCTGACGTTGTTATCCAAAGCAGCTTGGTGACACTGAGATTTGAACTCATGACCTTCCAATCAGCAGCCCAAAGCCACTGAGCCACCACTTCCCTGTCTAAGGCTCCTCACATCCTATTTTTCCTCAAGAAAGCAAAAGTTTATTTGTCTCATGATGATGCCTGAAGGACAGCAAGCCCCTCAACTGGCTTTGGTTGGGGTTTGGCCATTTGTTTATTATATTTATACCACAGCATTGCTGAATGCCTGAATCTGACTTTTCCGTAACAGTAGCTCTGACAGTAGTTCCAGCTGTATCACGGGTTTATCTAATACGTTATCTTTTCAGTAGCAACAACTCATTCACAGGGACTTGTATAACACATAATAAAAGTCTAATAATAAAAAACATACTTAACAAAAGTAAAATGTATAATCGTTGATACGGTGAATATTTCTGTAAGGAGACGTTATTTAACATTTGTGGATAAATAAGTCCTGGGTTCGAGTGGTTTTTTTAACATTCAGTAAGTGTTCCTTTACGGGAAAGTCTTCAGGACTGCTGTTTCCAGTTTCTCTGTAACATTAGCTGTGGGGTTTTTTGGTCTTACTGACTTCAAGAGAGAAAAAAGTGATACTAGTGAGGGAAAAATTGTTCATAGCTCCTATAGCCTGTCTCAAGGATGGTCCACAACATTAAATGTAACTACAAACAGGTAAAAAGTATCCCGTGGCATTGTTAAAAATTGTAGTCATTGGTAAATTGCTGTGGTATAAGACGAATAAAACATTTCAGGAAGTGCTCTTATGGGAAAATAGAGTGATTACACTTTACAGAAGGACCATTAGTGCTTGAATTTGGAACCTTGAAGTCATGATATAATGAATATGCTATTATTTAATTTCTTAAATCTGTCAGTTTTACTAATTGCTATTTCCTATTAGATATTGGAAGGACTAGTGGCATTGATGGAATTAAGCTGGAGTATGATGCAGAGCAGGAAGAAATGACAGCGAACCTCACTCAGGACTTAGCTTTTGAGGGGCACAGTTCACAAGATAATAATGACCAGTTAGTTATCACTCAGTCACTGTCAGCAAACAAGGCCACCAAATCCCTAGGCAAGAATAGACAGCAATACATATTTAAAGAGACCATCCTGAACCTACACAGTGGGACACCTGCTTATGGAACAAGTCAGAGATCTGGACCAAGGTTCCACAGATGTAACAAACCCAAAGCCACCTCTACCGTTCTTGACACTGGTACATATGACCCATCATTTTTTGTGCCAACGTCCACATCATCAGTGAAGCAAGAGCCACAGCCAATAGTGAGGCCAAGCAATACCAAAAAGAACAACTTGATGAAGGAACTGTTTGGTCAAGTAAAATTGGTTGAGCAGATGCCTGATAATAAACTAGACGCTGGCACTAAAACATCAGATCCAAATAAAACACCATTTTGTCATTCTGCAGATCCCAGAATTTAAGAAGTTAAGCCATGTGAAGGCTCTTATCTTAGCCTGTTTAATCAATATGCTCCATTGTCTAAATTTGTTTTTGTTGATTGAATTACATATCAATATGCAAATAATATGCAAAATAAAAATGCTGTTGATCAGATGTTGTGTTTATTTACTGCAACTGAACATCATGAAGCATATGAATGAATATAATGATCATCAATATAAACATCCAAAAAGTAAAATAAATTCAAACATCAAACCAGGGTGCAGTATGCTTTTTTCACAGTGGACCAATGCTACCCTTTCAAATAAGTGAAAATAAGGACAATGTCTGTATGGATATCATTACAAATGATACTTTTTTTTTTCCTCAAATGAAAGACTTTTCCTCAAATTGAATTTGCATTTTAATTAAATTGATTAAAATGCAAAAAAAATAAAAAAATAAACAAATACAACCACAATTCAATAAATATATAGCAGGTTCTGCTTCACCCCTCTTAACCACCAGGGGCGGTGAATATCACCTGGATGCCTTCTTGTGCATGCATGTACACATGCCAAAATCTCCCAAGAAAGTGACCACATGTTGTAGTATTTGCTACAAATACCATTTTTGTTCTACCCTTCAGCCGTAAGTCCATAGGTGTCCTCATGTCTAGCTCGCTCGAGACAAAAAGCGTTCCTGACAATAGGGATCAGGTTGGGAGGGCTGCTCCATTGAAGCGTACCCTCTCTCAATGGCTGGGGGCATGTGGGGGCACCGAGGTTATGTCAACCACACTGTGAGATTAGAACGGATTAGAACAGCAGTTCTTCTTAATGGTTCTGAGAAACTGCCATATGCCGGTCCGATTTATCATTGTCATATCGGTAACCTACATCAATCATCAAGACAGCACAAGGCTGGATGGCGCTGTCTGCCTTGCACAAAAACTCATAAGCATAAGCCTCATGAGAAAAACTCACTTGGCCTGGATGGCACAATGGTGTGGCAGATGCACTCTTGAGGCACAACATATGCCTGGCATCTGCACTCAGGAGTGGTGAGGCAGATCTTGGGGAAGTTTTGCAGGGCACAAGTGGACCTCTTCGCCAATGGCAAATCGACTCACTGTTGACTGTGTCTCTCCCTGACTGACAAATTGGGCCACAGAGTCCTGGGGCCTTGGTTTCCACTGCTGCTCTCACTAATAGTCAGAACATCTTGGCAACTTCTTCGGTGTGTCAATGGGTTTGGCCCCTCAGATTAAAGTGCAGGTTGAGGACTATGATCTAGGAGTCCAAGTGATAAAATTATCACAAACTTTCTGAAGGGAACAAGGCACCTTCGTCCGTTACACCCCACCCCGCCAAGAGTCCACCAATGAGATCTCCCCCTTGTGATGGAGCCCTTTAAGTCCTCTCCTTGTGAGCACATGAAGGATGGTGAAATGAAATGAGTTTCTCTGAAG